CTAAAGCACCTACAGAATGTAGAAATGACTCATACTGTAATATTAATAATCATTTCTAATCTTGGTTAATGTTATCTGTGCTCTGTATTTAGAAGTGACCAGGTTGACCCTGGTTTCTGCAGCTTCTAATTTGGTTCTTTTAAACAACTATCAAAACATCCAGACCTGTTTAGAACAAAGGGTTTATAATTGTCTAAGTTTCTTTTTGGTTTTATATAAACTCTTTTGCCAGTGACTTTATTGACTCCATATGTTTTTGTTTTTTTTTCATGCACCATGGAGAATGTTGATATAGCATTCATGTATTGCCCTATTTAGATGATCACAAACCAAAGGTTGGCATGAGAGTTTCTGTTTGGCTAAACCACAGACTAGTATGGATTTATTTGTCTAGCTGGGAGTTCATAAGCTGCTCCGCGGCCTGGTGTTTCTATTGGATGGATCGAGAGTTGTCTTTCCCAGTTCAATCCCAAATTGTTCGTTGTGTATGGTAGGCCAACGAGAACCGTGGGGTTCAAGTGGTCCAGAGAGGCTGCCAGGCCCTGAGTTGTGCCAGCTGGCACCGGGTGGTATGAATATGTGTCGTTAAACACACAGGGTATGAAGAGGCTGGGGGTGATGTTGGTTAGCCAATTATTTTTTTAAAATAGGTTAGCTCTGGGCTTTTTATGACGGCGATATGTTCGGAATTAATCCCTGTTGCACGCTGTTGAAGATTTGATTATTATGGCACTAGTAAAAGTTGTGCTGAGTCATTTCACCTTTATTTGTTCCATTTGAATTTGTACTCACTTTCTGTGTTACTGCAAAAGTTCTGTCAACAACAGCGTTCAACTCTAGAACATGGATACTACAGAAAAATACTCGTTTGACTCAGTGCAGTTTTTCCTACACTTTTTTCTAGAGTAATTCCTGTCCACTGAGTTCAGTTAACAAGCTACAGTCATTGTTATTGTTTCAGGCCTGGCCTTCCACTCCAAGGTAAAAAAAAAAAAAAAAAAAGTCCCCCAATCATATGCTTCCTGAATACCTGGACTCTCCCCCCTGATTGGCCACTGAAGCTATTTGTAATTAGTATTAATGGCAGGTTACATTCCTCAGGTGCCTGTGTCATACCTTGTGTCTTTACAATCAGATTAAAGTATGATCCTCTGACAGGGCACTGTGAAGCCAGGAGATATCCATGTCATGGCAGCTTAAGGACCATAATCACTACCACGCCGTGTTCTGAAGCTCAGCTACAGGAGATTGTGACTCATAAATCCCCCGTCCATCTCTAATAGAGTCTCACTTTTAAAAAAACAAAAAAACAAGACTGACCACACAGCTCAGACATGTGCTCCGACTCCTCTGCGCCAGATTTTTTTTTCTACCTAGTTGGTTGTCATTTAGGGTTCCAGCTGTGACAGATTGATTGATCCCATACACACAATTTCCTGCACTTGAAGTGCCGGGGGCCAAAATGGACAAAGGGAAACAGAGCTGGGACATGTGCTTCTGGACATTTATAACCTTTGAATATTTTTGTAGATTACAGGGATTGAAAATCCGGAGGCTTTGTGGAACATTTGAGGGAGAATCGTATAAAAACCCGTGTGTGCCACGGTGTTGTTGCTGTCACATTGATTGGTGAATTATTGGTCTTTGAGGACATTATTTCCTGCCTCAATTGAAGGAGATAGTGTTTCACACAAATGTTGCTTTTAACTGAAATCACATAGTAATCGTCCAAAGATGTTAGGTCAATTTCTGGTTTATTGTTTTAGCAGTAGTATAACCATAGTTTAATATAATATACACTATAGCATTTAAGGATCAAAGTAAAATGCTGTATTAAATACAGAAGCAGAGAAGAAGACGAAGAAGAGAACTTCTGGTTTCATGTTTATTTCAGCATTTTCATATTTATCACATTAAATTGTAATTGATGTTGGAGTACTACAGTACACCTGGATTACTACAGTACACCTGGATCACTACAGTACACCTGGATCACTACAGTAAACCTGTAATTGATGTTGGAGTACTACAGTACACTTGGATTACTACAGTACACCTTGATTACTACAGTAAACCTGGATTACTAGAGTAAACTTGGAATACCAGACAGTTGTCTTTTATGTATGGGACAAAAACATCTTCTTCACCTTATCTGATTTCATTAATTTTTTTGTGTCTGTGTTTTGTGTATAACATGTTAGCAAAGTAACGTAGCCATCCAGCTAGACATTGCGTGGTAATGACGCGGTGTCATCTTCACTTATGTAAAAAAAGCTAGCAGGACACTGGTGCTAATTAATGTTAGTGGTAGCATCTGTGTTTGTTCTAAAATATCAGGCTGGGTTTATTCAGATACCACTGTGATTTAGATCAGGTTTAAAAGTGAGTGGTGGTAAAGTTACTTTGGACAGACAAGTGATCATCCTTGATTGTTCAGTTTTTCTTTCTCGGCTTGTTCTACTCAAAGTTTCTCTTTGAGCTTCTTTGATATTTTTAGGACAGCTCAGCAGTCAGTATTTTCATTTTTCTGACCGTTTTTGGACAGAGTGTTTCACAAGAGTTTTATTTAAGCTGAAGAACATTTGAAAAGAAACAGAATTTGTCCAGAACAGTGCGGCTCTATCTGAATGAAATAAAACACGACTCCTTCTGTGTGACTGCCAAGCAGTTTGATGGCATTATTAAGACATCAGACCGATTCCACCATTGTTCTCTGTGTTTGTCTGTGTGGATTTCTGAGGACGATCCCTGCGTTGTTCTGGAGCCACACCTGGTTCACTCAGTCACTGCACATTCCCTCACACACACACACACTGCTGCAGGAATCTCTGCTGCAGTAGCAGTGAAGGGGTTGTCACTGAGAAGTGCTGAGTCAGGGAACGTCTGTGGGGCCGTCTTGTCTGGCGTTAATTTGTCTTCAAATAAATACTGGGTATGACTGTACTCCATGTATGTTTATTCGTTCTCTGCGGGTACACATTTTGTGTTGTTTTATAAATGTGGGCCAGTAATGCTGCCGTAGATAAAGGCGTGCGTGGAGCTGGCGGGCGTCGCTGGTCCAGTCGCTGGTTCTTTCGGTGTAAAAATGGATAAACAAGTATAAATCTAACTTGTATTTGTATCTGAGACATTAGAAGCCGTTAAAATGCCAAAACCCACCAGTCTAGGTTTTTCTTGGGGCCCCTGTGGTCAAATCTACCAACTCCTATTGGTTACTGCAGCTGTCAATCACATCATATAATTAAAAATCTTTTATTTTTATTTTCGAAGAACTGCTCCTGACTATTCACTTGGTTTCTACAGACGTCGTTTAAAGCATTGTTTCCCAAAGACTGGGTCGTGACCGTCTCTCATCATGTTTCCCAGGAGTGTAAAAGTTTTAAGTTTTAAAAGTTTGAGAAACACTGATTTAAAGGTGCATTCCTCAACATGAACTACTCTGATAAAGTACAGGTTTGTATTTGTTAAATATACAGTACAAACTGTACAGTACAAACTCTAAATATTCTGGCACATATTAACACCAAACAAGAAAACGGTCCCAGCATTTACTGGGTGTAATCCTCCAACATGCGTGAAATTTGTTGGTTGGCCCACATTCCTTTACAGTTGGTGATTATTTCTGTAACTCCGAACACCACCCTCCATAAACCCCCTCCACTCACTGCTGGAGAGTTACATTTTTATGAGGGGGGTCTGAGACCTTACTTATATTCCACGCACGTTTGTTTAATTTGATAATGAGCACGTTGGCCAGCCTGGCCTCAGGTCTTGGTTTAAGAACGGGGATAATGTTACAGCCAGGCAGAGAGAAAGCAGACGCTCGTGACAAAATGGCTCTGGTTACCCATAGGCCTCTGCAGCATCAGAGAAGATTAGGTTCCTGTTTGCCATCTCACCAGTGAAGGTGGGTGCTGACAGATGTTCCTGTGTCACCTCTGCGTGTTTCTGGATATTATATTTGATAAGAAGTGAGTAAGCCCAGGCACTTCCTGTCATCTGATCTGCTCCTTCTTAGCACCTCAGCACGGATTCCTGCAGCGATGTTGGAGAAGTGCAAGGGTTTGTTTTTGACTGGAAACTAGGTCAAAAAAAAAAGGGAAAAGATCCGAATTTACACATCCATAATGTGTGCATTCACGCAGTGATGTCATCAGAATGAGGCATGAAATTGTCCTTGAGGAAGAAGCCTTACATCCACCTTGAAAAATAAATGCTGCATCATCATAGTGTTCATCTGTGTGCTGTAAGCTAGTGATTTTATATTTCTTCACTTTGTCATCTGTGTCAGTTACATCAAATATACGCCAGATCAAAGAGGGCAACTACACAGTCCTGATCAGGTCTGCTGTTTATATAAATGTTATTCATTTTGGCAGAATTCAGTGAATGAAATCACTCTGATTCGTCATTAAAATCCATTATAAATTTGAATCTGACCAATTCTACAAACTAATCATTTCCGTAGCCAGTCTTTCTGTCTGGTATGTAGTTCCCAATGACACAGTTGTGCAGTGAAACTCGGTGTGTTTGATCAGGCAGCAGGACGACCCGTCCTCTCTCTCAGGCCCACTGCAGCCTGATTGTGACTGACAATGAAAGGCTGCTGCTGCTGTCTGGCCAGTCAGTGCGATCACACAGCCTTTGTGCAGGAAGCATAAAAGCCCATTTGTCAGCGAGCCGCATTTGAAGACGAGGTGCTGCACAACTCCGCCTGCTGTGCTCCTGTTACAAGTTGTGTCTAGAGCTAAATTAGTTTGTACAGAGGCCAAACCTGCAATTCCATGTGCAAACAAAGGAGTGATTGGATTTGAATTTGCCTTCTCTGTTGAACAATTGAGATGGAATGAAAAATAAATCATATGTAACAATCCATTGTGTGCCAAAAACACATCAGTGGACCACTGTGCACAAGAGACACGGAGAGTTTTGGTCTTATGTACAAATTCATTGTTGGTTTTGGGATTTGCTGACATGATTTGCCTTATCCTTTAAAACAGCAAATTTTACAGGCTCCAGACTTACTACCCATTAGACTCTGGCCTTCTGAGTGAGGAAAACATCCATTGCATGACCACAAGCTACACAGTTTCACATTCACTCTCACGACTGAAAGGAATTAAGATGCATTGTTGCCGCCTTTGTTTGGGTTTGTCATTCAGACATTGTAGGCCGCTGACAGGATAGTGATAGGGTCCTGGCATATTTCTCCATTAACACAGGGGGCGGAGTTGACCTTTGACTTTCTCCCGTATTATATTTACCCCACTGAAAACATTTCCCCTGATCTGCTCCTCCGGCCTGTTTCACTCAAACTGCTGCTCAAATATTGAAGGTTTTATATAAGTGTATCTCACAGGAGATTAAAGCCTAGCGTCAGATAAATCTGCACCTTTGCACAGTGGCCATTCTTCCACATGCCCTTGTCAGCATCTGTCTTATTTGGCGTATTGATAGCTGTCCTACACGGTTGACATAATCACAGCAGTCCAAATGTCCACACGCAGTGACACTCTTCTTTTCTCTCCATTTGTCTTTCTCTTCTTCACAGACGAGGCAAGAAACACAGCATTATTCTGCGAACCCAGCTGTCAGTCAGAGTTCACGCCTGCATCGGTGAGTAGAAAACTGTGCTGTTGTCCACACTGTACATTTGTGACGCCACGCTTACGGTCAATCTGTCTTCTTTAATGGCATTGGAAGGACGTTCGTTACCTCTGTTTCCAGTGTAGTGTTTTATTGAAGTTCTTGCTGCAGTAACACAGTGGCACCATTGGGAAATATAAACTTAATTTGGGTGAGGATTTACTGCATTTCAACAACACTGCAGAGAGCAGAGAGTGAAAACATTACTGTTGTGTTCTGTCACTGTGTTTTATTGGGCCTCCTGGTGTCTTTGTCTGACGAGGGAACAAGCACCAAGAGCTGACTGAAAACATATGTAAACAGGCAAGGTTGTTTTCTGTGCGTACACACACACAACGTGCTTATCAGTTGGATTTTGATTAAAGGCTGTGTTTGAGTGTTTTCCTTCTCCACATCTAAGATATCATGATAGGGTAGGTGTAAATTATTGGACATCTCTGATTGATTGATGGTCGGAGCTCAGGCTCTGAGACTTGTCACCGTCACTGTCAATTTAAAACGTAAAAAAAAAGCCCACATTCTCTCACGGACACATGCTTCCTACTTTGCAGGATTCAAATCTAAAAATAGCCCGAGGCCTGCAAAAACCATCAGACTGGAACTGGTCAGATTTGGTTTTATTTCTCTTGTCAAGTGAAAGTCAAACGAGGTCCAAGGCTTTCACATGAAGTCAATGTGATTTGAAGGCTGTCTGTGTTGTGGACTTCATTTTAATTTATGTCGGCAAATGCTAATGCTAATATTGGTCAAATTCTGTATCAGGATGTAAAAGAAACATAGAGAATAGATGTGGAGTAACCAGATTTGACGTAGCTAGCCTGGGTAAATACACTTTAATCTTTTCAACAACTTTTATCTCATGTTTTGTTAACTTCCAGGTACTCTAGGTAATTAATAATGATATATTTTACATCTTAGTAATAAATGAATTAAAAAGTTATTTGCCAACAAAATAATAAATACATCTCTACATATATTATTTCATGGACCACACAAATATAATTTTACTGACCAAGAGAACCTAAATAATGAAATATTTACATTTCAGATCACTTCAGTCTAAACTGTGTTTCTGTGAACTGGTTCACTCTGGTCTCTCGCAGCTTATAGAAGCAGTCGGACTGGCAGGCAGAGCTGCTGCTCTCCTCTAAGTGGATGATGAGCCGCTCTCTCTCTCTAAGTTGATGGCCACCTGTTGCCCTTCTCTAGTGACTGGCTGCTTTGCTAACCGTTTTACTTCCTTCAGTCAAGCGGGTCACTCTTACTGTAACTTCTCCAGACATTTAAGTCTAATTTCATCTGACTTCAGGGCTTACCCTGTAGATGAAGAATTACAGGGTGATTTTCCTGCACCCCACAGAACATAATTCTTCAAGACAAATGTGGTGACATTCTGTGGGTGTGTGTGATTGAGAGTTTCTCTTCTATCATGTTAATGGTAACAGAACAGAGCCCTGATTGTTATAGGACCCTATTGTCTTAGTGTAACTAGAGACGTTGTGCTATACAGAAATCTGTATTCTGTTTAACTAGGCTTTAGAGAACTGCTAAAGCAAACAGTACCAAGGAACCCCACTGGCTTTAATGTCATTATTTTCTAATTCTTCTTCTTCTTCAAAAAAATCCCCCCCATAAATGCTGCCTTTGTTAAAGTTTGGAAAGAAAAATAATTAAGTTTGCGTTGCTTGTTTTTGAGTTCTATAAAGTTTCCCAATTAAATTGTGTCCTCACTTGTGATTAAGTGTGAAGCGAACACGGCCGTGCTGTTAAAATATTCACTCATCCCTGAGGATTCCTCCTTGATTGTGAGTGATGAGCTGCAGTAGTTTTCTCTGTAATCTGTGGCATTGAGTGGAAAATCCTTGCTGTGTTTAAGCCCTAATCACATCGTACAGAACTTTGTTTAACTTATCTGGTGGTGGTGGGGGAGTCTGGGGGAGGGGGTCGTCTTTGGTTTTCTTTAAATGTACTCAGGTTGGTCCGTGCGTGTGTGTGTGGGTGTTTGGCTGCACGTATGTACGTGTGGTCAGCCGCAGACAGACCTAATCCAGGCTCTGCTGCTCAGAGGCCTAAGCTCTGACACATATGTCACTGTGTGGGACCAGGCTGTAGTGTCGGAGCGGGAGCAGAGGTGTTCATCCCGCAGAGCTAATGGTTTATTAAAAAGCTCTTTACTCTGAGGTGGAGATTTGTTGTAATCACACGGTCGACAATTTAGGCTTTTGTTTTTGTAACTAAAGTGTCTTTAAAGCTTTATGTACCAGTGTTCTGTTGCACCATTAGCTTCTGGCTGTTTATGAACATTAACTACATCATCGAAAACGTTCACATTACAGACAGAAGTGGCCCATGTCTGATTCTCTGATTCTCAAATCCAGTCCAGATTGCTTTCATATTTTCTACTAAAATATGGATCAGACTGAATGGGGTTGCGTTTCATCCCATCTTTACGTCAAAGTTGATGTGGTGGAAAAAAAGCGTATGCTGAGGAAATAATCTTTTTTTTGTAGTTTAACTTGTTTCCTGGATGTGAAAATGGTGTGAAGGTTTTAGCCCATATAGACCTGTACTTACGGGGACGAAAACCAAAGGTTGTCTGGGATTGACCGAAGCACGGGGAGAGGAGGACATTGATTGCGCAACAACTTTCAAATTGATACAAACAAGCTGACGTGTGTAGTATCCATATTTATTACTACAAGCAGTGTGTGACGTCACGTCTTCTTCTCTGCATGCTGGTCATTTCACAGTAGACTGTTCACATGAGTGATGTCTGAGGGCATGTGCATACGAACTCAACCAAAGAAAAAAGGGAATCGAGCAACAAGACCTGCAGAATGATGCACTTCCTGGTCCGTAGTTGTCTTCATCCAGCAGCTCAAACACACACACAAAAAAAAACCAAGATGGCTGAAGAAAGATTTGTGAAATTTGACAAACTGTCATTAAGCCTTTTTTCATATTTCCCTCTTTCTTTTTCCCAAACTGAAGGATACGGGCAATGACTTTTTAATGAATATGTTTTCTGCCTCAGAATAAACCAGTGCAGATGAAGGCTTGATCTTTGTTTATAATTGTTTGACCAGCACAGCAGCCTGAGACATAGAAAATAATCTCACATTGTTCTTCAGTGCGTGTTAGCCTTGGCCACAGCCTGCTTATTTAGTTGAGCTGTTATTGTTGTGGACTAGTTGTGGTAGCCAGGGCCAGTTTGAGCTGCTCTCTGTTCATTTTACTGTTGTCCACAAGTACAGTAGGTTGTCTTTGGACGTCTTGTTTAGTTTCTGGGGTTGTTCTGCTTGCGTGAGGTGACGGTATGCAGAGGAAAGAGACAGTTTGAGCTGTAGAATGTTTAAATGAGGATACCAAGTTAGAAATTAACAAATGTCACATGTAATTATCTGCAAAGACAAAAAACAAACTTTGGAACCAACTATTGCAGTGTTTATACAGTAATATAGTCTGAAGCTGATTATTGGGGAAAAGATCTGATGGTAATTTTATCATCTGAATCTAAATCTACTGGACTCCATTTCTCCATCTCCATCAGTGCTTCCAAAAAAAAAAAACAATCCCTGTCAACACCAGCATATTGGTTCCGTATTTGTTTTACTCAAATGCAAGGGTTCCACCGGTGCCATTTTATTACAGACCAATTCAAGTATTTCAATGAATATGCAGTTGGCTAGACGGCTGTGTTATATAGGTGGCACAGCTCTGTCACAGCAGGGTGACGTGGACAGTGTGTGGGATCTCAGCCTAAACTACAATGATGACACAGATATATATTTATAGCAAGTTTAAAGAAAACTGTTTCAATCCAAAAGGGAACAAATTGTTGTACATTAAACACAACACCTTCAAAGAGACACATTTACATCAGTGAGCAGAGCTTGGGGAGATGTAATTACCTCATCTGTCCACTGTGTCCTCCACAGTGAGACCAGGACTAGACGGACCTTATTTGACTCGTGATAAAGGACTTTTGGCTTTAGTATCTTGCCCATTAGTGTGTAGACTGATAAGGTCCAGTATCAAACCCACGACCCTGCAGTTGGATGACAGCACACTCCAAGGTCTCCAAGTGTAGGTTAATCTTGGAGCCCATTGATCCAGGCTGAGGAGTGACAGCTGAAATCAGAGGTGACACGTTCTTAGTGGATTACTGGCCTGGCGTCCTACAACCCCTCATCATCCAGGTTCAGGACATGATGGATGGTTGTGATGATGGCGTGGACTCGTGTCTCTCTGTCACACTGTAATTTGGTCAAATTGATAGTTTTGATCTTCAGGTTGACAAGTGTGGTTTTTCAAACAGGAAACGACTTGGCAGCAAATTCTGTCTGACTTTCCCCTCTGTTGGAAAATCAGCTCCTGGCTGTGGTCAGAGGAACTGCACCGAAGACTCAGTCAGGAGTTTCAGTTTCAGTTATGACAAATCTGTGTGAGATGTGAGTACATGGACCTGAGAAGATAACGTCACCTGTGGATTGTGGTGATCCTGTCCACCATCTTTTTCCAAACTCCCAGCCAAATCTGCACTAAGCCTCCTGCTTTTCTTAGCACGCATCGAACCCTTTCTAAGAGTTATCGTCTTACCAAATATAGGATATGGATGGACGCCTAAAATCACTGAGAGAGCTTGTTTTTATATTTGGTGTTTTTATAAAAGCAGACGATCTAGAATTTTACATAAACAGCCTTACATACCTCGGAATTATATCTGTAATTCTTTTTGGACAAAACAGGAAGTCTGTTGGGGATTGTTGTGTGTCATGGGGAGAGATGAGTGTTAGGATGAGAAAAACACAATGACAGATGATATTACCTACAGAGGAAACAACTAAAAGAATTCACCAAATGGTATATTTCCCCCTGAAAATCAAAATATAATTACAAATGCAATGCAACATTGAACCCCTTCTTAAAAAGACACATTTTAAAGGCCATACTGGTTGGATCCTAAACACCAACAAAATTAATAAATAATATAAATCAGATAAGGACTAAACAAACATTCAACATTCAAATTCAATTTTAAATATAAAGAAGAAGGGTGATAACATTCCATGACAATCAGTTTTCTACAGTTTTCCTATATATTTTTTTGACTTGTCTGTGACACTTAGACGATGCTCAGGGGCACAGTAGGGAGCGGGGGTCATGAATATTTGGGTTAAATACGCAGGTTTTTTATGGCCATGATCTTAAAATAAAAACACCTGCCTATTATTTGAATCGCTGGTATTAATGCAAAATAACAAGGTACTTTATACATGGCACTTGGCCCAGATTAATATAAAACACAATNTAAGGTTTCTATGGTTTGTTCTTGAGAACAATAAGCTCAGGGACATTGTTAATGATTTTAATGTTTTTCTAAGTTTAAATTTTCTCCCTGCGCCTTTAGCTGAAGATCTTTTGCCGTGTGATAAATGAAGGCTATAAACTCTTTTTATTCTAGTGTTGGACATGTTTTTTGGGGTACTTTCACCAGTTTGTGAGCGCACACACTTGCATGCTCAAACACCCATGCATAAACACTCATGCAGAGGCATGCACATATTAAGCAGCCATCTGTTTCCAGTTGTGGAACCCCCTCTGCACGTTCAAAAAGAAAAGAGCTGTCTACGTTTTCACCCAAGAGGGGAGTATTTTTTACTCCGCATGTTTGTGAGACACGAGTGAGAAGGGTGAGCGTACCGCCCGACCAGGAGACCTTGTGTTTTTCGGGATCCTTTGACTTATTATTGGATTTCATTGTTATAAATAATGTGAGTCCTTCTCCTTTATAGTGACATAAGAAAACTTTAGGAAGATGAGGTCACTGGTTCAGAATTGTTATAAGGTCCATTTTACGGCCAGTTCATAGCAAAGTACGGCTTTTCAATGTGTCACACAGTGACATATGA